GTCTCTGCTCAGCAGGGAGCCTGCTTCCCTCTCTCTGTCTGCCTCTCTGCCTACTTGTGATCTATCTCTGTCAAATAAATAAATAAAATCTTTTTTTAAAAATTAGGTTATTTCTAGTTCAAAACAATGTTTAATTTGGGGACTTACCTATATAAATCTTGAGTGTTCAAAAAAATATCTACATCACATCTAATCTGTACAAAATTCACTGTAGATTCTTATGAAATTATTTTAAGTTAAGGATATGAGTCCAAAGATGTCACTTTGGCCAAAAGACTAGTTTCCAAGGAGAAATTTTCCTGAAAACTTGTTCAACTTTAAAATTCAGCTTTATTTTTTAACCTCATACTTGATTTGTGAGAAATTTCTATTTCTACATGAGGTTTCATTCTCTGTTTTGCATCAGCATGGTCATCAGTTTCAGAGAGTTATACAGCCCAGTCAATGTTCAGGAAGCTGGGTTTTTTGAGTGGGTGAGTATGAGGGAGGATTAAGGTAGAATTCTTAGAATCATCTACCACTGGGACTTTCCTGGAGTCTATCCACCTAGCTACTTCTTAGTTTTAGGATAAGTTATTTCTATATTGGTTAAGTAATTGTTGAAAGAATGATGTAACTTTGAAATACGTGTGACAGAATAAGATCCTAGAAAATTATCAGTATCCTTAGCAACAGAAAGATGTCTGAGAATGTGAACAATTTGCCAAGAAAAAAGAGAAGGGATAAAACCCCACAGGTAATCTCACCAATATTCCACTTTCACCACTGCTTAATAATGGTTAGACACCATCAAAACAAATCTCTTTTTTTCTGCTTTTTCATATCATCTTTTAGCATTTTTATATTGTAGCAATCAGTGATGATAATATATAATAACTAAATAAAATCAACTCCTTACTACATAAATAAGTGATTTTTAATCTAGGATGACTGATCTAGAAGACAGCATAGGTGAAATTATTTCGCCAGTCACAAAGCAAAAATAGAAAGGAATCTGGTTTCTGAATCTTCATTCAGGACTTGGTTACTAGAATTACTCTGCCAGTTTTAGTTAAGTCAAAGAAAATATTATATAACTGTATAATATATAAACTAAGCACTACATTCAAATGAAAAGTTTTTTTTTAAAGATTATGAATGAACAAAGTGATTCGGGTGATTATGAAACAGCAAAATGAAGCGTGCGCACGCGTACACACACACACACACACACACACACACACACATATAAATACTATGACTCATTAGGCCAGGAAAATGGTTAAGAGAAACTTTACACTGGGTGAAAGCTAATAGGATATTACAGTCAAATTTACCCTGTGAAATAATACACAAATAATTCATACTTGACTATATTAAGATAAAACATTTAAGAAGTTCAATTTTAAAGGATACTAATTATTCCATGTAAAAAGAGTAAAATGGGGTACTAAAAGGAAAAATTTCAGAATTTCTTTTAATTTACTTTTATTTGAAAAGAATCACTGGTTCAAAATTAAAGACATATCAATAGTTCTATCAAATCTGCTCTAATAATCACTTCAACTTGATCATATTTTAACTCAGAAACTACATCAAATCTGAAATTTTTATCAAAATCCAAAATTACATCTTTAATTTTACCTGTTTTGATAGGCCAATTCTATTTTTTTTTTAAGTCCATTCGAAATCAAGGTATGAAAATTTACCAGGTTGATTTAAAAAAGTGAAATCAGGCCACCCGGTGGTTAATATTATGTACTGCATACATGAATATTTTATTTCCAAACCTGGACTGCAAACTAGCAACATTATAGTAAGACAAATTTGACTTCATTTGACCAGTATGAATAGCAATACTGAAATAAATACTTAAGGAATTCTACCTACCTACTCGTAAACAAAAATGATCACTGAATTTTTCTATTTCATTCCATTTGTATATATATATATATATTTAAATGAGCAAAGATGATTACAAAAAGGTTCAAAATGGGAAATAGATATTAAATCTAGACATTAATTTACAGATCCTAAAACCCAAATGCCTAGATTAACAGACTTAAAAACTGGGATATAGAATTTACTTGCTTTTCCAAAACAATGTTGCTAGTTAATGACAAAGCTGATTAAAAAAATCAGTTCTCATTTTCAGTATTCTTTCACCCGTAACACTCATTTTGCTGGAAACAACATAGTAAAATTGCTTCCCATACACACATATAACCCACTGAAAAACATTTTCCAATGAAAAAGCTGGCTTTTAGCTTTCCAATTTAGTGCAGTCACCAGTTGCCAAGTGTAAATACCTGAATCTGTTACAACTTAAAACAGGTCTTCTAGTTTCTAAATGACATTTTTCAAAGTTTATTTTTAAGGGTAGATCTAGCTTTTAAAAACTAAAGTTAATTACTCAATACATAAATATGCTTAAAAATCAAATACACATTAATAACATATACCAATTTTGATACTACCTGTAAATTATATCATTAAAACCCCCAGTGAGATCTTAAACTATTTAAAGTCACAACACTAAATGAGCCTTTTCCTTTATGTAAATCTAGGTCAGAGATACTACAGCTATCTTAAAAATCAAAAGAGCCAACATCCTCCAGTTGTTTCAACCTGAGGTATCAGGTTTTTTTTACTTTTTTTTTTTTCCAAATCATATAGAAAAAAAGTATATTATAGGATTTATGCTCATAGTCTTATGCAAAACTTTTATATAGCAAACTATAGTTTTCATTCAAATACTTAGTTGTAGAGATCTTAAATTGACTAAATTATTTCCTTTCTCAACTATAAATTAGGTTCATATTTATTACTAAGACGTTTAGTCAATAGGCATGAGACCAGACTTTGCCCAATAACTTCACCCTCAAAACATTTCACATTCTATTATATTCTAAGATAAATAAGACATATTTTCACATACAAGAAATATAATTTAGAGCCTGAAACACATTTAAGTGTAAAGACCCTACATAATACAGCATTTAGAGATGATAATTTCTCACCACATCCTCTACCTCTATTTGGAGCATAGTTTCACCCCCACCGCATTTAATTACTCCAGCCTTTTAACTCATTATATAGTACATTTTAATTCATACAGCTGACAAGGAACAAAAGTGAACAGTACAATATTTAGATCTCAATGCTCACAGTATTGTGAATAAAAGAAAATAACGTACACAGGCAAATTAGTCATTAAATCACTTCTCCTTTCTTAGTCTATTATTATGAAGCAATCAAAAACTATGAAATGAGCAGAAAAAATCAATTGGAGGAAAGCGTTCTGACATTCAAGCATCCATGTCTAATCATAACTAAATGATGATGATCGCATTAGGTAAGACATTCTTTCAAATAAGATTAACATCAATACTGATAGATAATGCCACACAATGAATATAAACAAACTTCTGTTTTTGGGCTGACAAAGTCATTTGTCACTTTGCTTAATGAAGTTATTTTTAAAATTCTGTATATTTAAAAATGCACAAGAAAAGGCCTAAATCAGTACCTCAGTAATTATAATTATAGGAGCTTTTAATATCTATCTTTTCTGAAGATTAGGAAGTTAATTAGAGCAGTTATTCTCACCTGAGTGATTCTGCCCCGCCCCCCCAAACACACATTTGGTAATGTCTGGAAACATTTGATTGTCATAACTCAGGGAAATGGTGTTATTGGCATCTACTAGACAGAGGCCAGGAATGCTGTTAAACGTACTACAAAGCAAAGGGCAGCCCCCCACTACAAGGAATTATCTAATCCATTATATCAGTAGTAACAATGTTGAAAACCCTGTTGTAGAGAGGTGGGTCTACGTGAGTGGACATGTGTATTTGTTACATCTGAGGAGTTTTACCTATACTGCAGTTGCCACAAAATAAGTCTAAAAAGGACTTGTTTTACGCTGCTTTCTGCAAAAATACCTTACATACAGAAGATGATTAATAAATTAATAAAGCAACAAATGTTATGTGTAGTTATTGCCAATTTTTAAGAGGAATTCGCAGTGAATGAATCTTAGTACTAAATTTCAACTTGGGAAATACCTCTCTAGTTAAGACTTTAAGGCTGTGAACCTAGATAAACAAAACTACTTGGAAATCCTGCCAAACAGCTTTTCAAGTTTATTTAATACTACTGACAAAAGACAATCTCATTTTTTGTCATCTAAGGGGTTACTACACACAATTTAGGTGTAGCTACTATAGTAACGTGTAAATAAAAATTAGATGAGTAAATTCCTCCTAGCAAGTTCTCCAACAAATATTATGCCCTACCTCTCTGGGCAAGACTTAGTTAGGGACACAGCCAAACACGGGCACTAAAAATATTCAGTGAATCAAACATTGTTTTAAGATCAAGCTACTGGTAGTAACAGTGTAACAACTTCCCAGCAAAAGATACTAAAAATATACACATAAAGCTGAGAACAAGGGAATGGTAATTACAGAAAACATCAAAAAGGTCCTCTCTCTTCAGCTATCCCTCAGAGGATTTTCCATACCTGTCAAGGCACCAAAGATGGCAGAGGGGTCCCAGCGCAGGTTTATCACAGAGTTCCTACTTTAACTGATTCCGTAATTCAGAAAAAAAGAATCTCTCTGAACACCATTTTCGAGTCGTCGGGGCTGTCCATGAGCACTTTTATGTGCGTGGAGTACTCCCTGAAAGCGCGGACTTACCTGGCAAGAAACTCCGACCAAGAGGGGACTGTGAGAAGCTGAAGTCTGGACGTGAGCTGTGGGGAGAATCAACTCCTTACAGCAATCTAGGCATTTGTTACTCTGTTACTCACTTTCTGCGCCTTAAACACAGGGGTCCCCAACTCTCCACAGGTCACGGCTGCGATGGGGCCAGCTGGGCCGGAGAGAGCTGCGGGGCAGCGGGAAGGAAAACCTCGGCCCCAGCTGGGGAGGGCCTGATGGGGAAGCATTGGGAAAGGGGAAAGAATCTGAGCCGAGACACTGCCAACAGGCCTAAGTGAAAGAGATGTCACCCACCTGCGCGACCTCTTCGCCATCCTTCAAGTACCGCATAGGCGCGGGCTGGGCGGGGACGCAGTTCAGCCTCCTCCAGCCTCAAGCGAATGTTCCTTGTCCCCGACCCTCCAGTCGCTCCCCTCGCTCCCTCTCCGAGGCGACCGAGAGTGGAACGCACGTCCCCGGCAGGGCAGGACGGAGGGGCGGACCGCGACCCGCCCCCGGCTCGCAGTGCAGCTCCTAGCCCCGGCCCGGCCCGGTCAGGGATGCCCCCAACATGTCAGCAGGCGCGCTCCCGCCCTCCGCCGGCCCCTCCCGCCGCCTCTCAGCCTCTACGCAGTGGTCCCAGCTCAGCTCTGCGGCGGGCGCCTACCCCCGCCCTCACCCCGCAGCGAGCAGCTCTGCAGGGCTCGCAGCCTCCTGCAGGGTTTTGTCCGCACCGCCGAATCTCGCGCCCAGCCTCCCTCAAGAGCCGCCGTTTGAATCTGCGCACGCGGCCCCGAACCTCATTGGCTGTAGCGGCCGCACGCGGGGGGACGAGGGCGGGGCGGGGAGAGCGCGCGCGACTGTGGGCGGGGCTGGGGAGCTGGAAGTCGGGACTGGAACTCGCGGGAGTCGGGGAAGGAGCTAGGAGTCAGGGGGTGGGGCCGCAGGGCGGGCTCGCGGGTATTGCCTTGACAGGACCCGGAGCGTGCCGAGCGCCGCACCGCGCGGGGCCTGCTGGGAAAGCGAGTTCCGGTGGTCGCCTAGAGGCGGGTCCGGAAGCTGCGGCGCGAGTCCCAACTTCCCGGGGTTCGCGGACACGGTCTTTGGGGGTTGGGCGGCTGCGCCGAGGCGCGTACCCGCAGCCTCCTTTCAGCTACCGCTCCTCCACTCCTAATTCCTCGTGTGTATCCCGCCTCATTAGTTAGGAGGAGCGGTCTTCGGTCTTGGGACAAATCTAACCATAAAATTTGCGCGGCCGTTATTGTTTAAGAAAAAATGTGAGCTTTATTTTGCCCAGACATCAGAGCTACTGCAATAGGCGAAGACTGTGGTAGGAAACAGAATATCAAGAATGAGCGGGACTGACAGGTGAAAAAAGTTTTTAGCTAGAGTCGTGTTTGGCACAGAAAAAGTAAATAAGCCCAAGTGTCGGTCTGATCGTCCCTGGGCTCCCTCTACGGGAAATAATTGAACCCTGATGCGGGAGAACAATGTACGAAGACAGGAGCGGACTGGAAATTTTGCCTAGACGAATCAGTATGGTAGTCAACTGTAGAAGGTGACCTTCCTTCGCAGGAGAGACGAGAGGAAGGGAGAATTGCACGGAAGGAGCTTCCAGTAGTTGTAACTACTCTAGAAGCTTCAGGTGTGAAACTACGAACTGCTGGGGTCAAAGAACATTGAAGTAGTTTACAGTAACAATTAGAAATGGTAAAGAATCCAAATTTGCAAGGTAACATGCTCTACTGCATAGAGCACTAAACCACATGTTAATATTATAACAAACTTATATTTTGCTATTTTGAAGTTTTACGCGTCAATTTTTGCAAATCAGAGATGCAGGTGCAAATGTGAATTGAAGAGGGGTTTGCATGCACTAGTTTCAAAACTTAAAACGCCTTTTTATAGTTCCTTTTTCTCAAGATATGGGTTCTGGGAAGGTGAAACACCTTTTATTTCATTCCTTATTGTGTTGCTCGTTCACTTTTTTTTTTTAACCTAATTGAGAAAGTAATGTCATTTGAAAACTGATTTCTGATTTACTCCTGGGTCATACATTACTCTACTTATTTATATTCTAACAGGAAGCAGAGTTTCTCCTCTATATTAGGCTTTTTATACAGAATACTTATTTAGAGCTTGAAAGCAGATATTTTAGACTTTGACACTACGCTAAATACCCCTCATTTTAGAGACAGAGAAAAACGTAATTCCCCAGAAAGATCACATTGCAAATTCATATAAATCGCTTATAAAGAGACAGTATGCCATGAAAGTGCTTCACAGTCATTTAAATACACACTCGAATGTAATTGAGAGCTGGGCTTTTTTTTTTTTTTCTTAAAGCAAAACATACACTTCAAACTTTATAATACTTTATTCAGAGTATTATAAGGAACTCTTAAAACAACTATGGGGGGGAACAATGAAAAAATGGGCAAAAGGTTAGAGCAGACATTTCACCAAAAAAAGATAGACAAATGGCAAATAAGCCACATGAAAAGACGTTCCACATCTTTGATCATTAGAGAAATGCAAATCAAAACCACAGTGAGATACCACCGCACAGTAATTAGGATGGGGAGCGGGGAGACTGATATACAAGTGTTGGTAAAGGTGAAGATGCTAAGCAAACACAACTTGCATGCATTGCTGGTAGAAATGCAGATGGACAGACACTTTGGAGAACAAATGTTTATAGTGGCTTTATTTGTAATCACCCAAAACTGAAAACACTCAAAAGAATGTTCTTCTCGTTACCACACTTCTCACTCCCTGAGAGTTGGTTTTAAATACCCTGTTGAAGCTTCTCAAGTTCTTCCACTGAGGTACAAGGGGATTGAATACCAAGGGAAAAATGACTGGGGACAAGTGTTGGAAATTTCTTTAAAAACTATTTTATCTTTAAAGACTCGTAAAGTTTTCTTTCTACTCCATGACAAATATATTCTTATTTTTAATTATAAAAATTATTTTTAAAATATTTTTTAATTTTTTTAAAGTAATCTCTAAACCCAGCGTGGGGCTCAAACTCACAACTCTGAGATCAAGAGTCACATTCTCTTCCTACTGAGCCAGCCAGGAACCCCTATAAAAATGATTTTGAAATTATTTTAAAGTATGTACTAATTTACTTTCTTACTCCGAATCTTTAAATAAATTGCTTCACTGTTATTAAATAAATGAGTAGTAAAGTGCACCGTGCTCATCCTTCCCATGGCTATACCAACTTATTCTCCCACAAAGGCCAAATACTCCCAAGGTTTGCTTATGTTGTTTGAAAAGCTTTTGCTGGCTCAATATAGTACCTGAGAGACTATAATTTTAATAGAGCCATATCTATCATTCCCATAGATTTTTGTTTGTTCTGTTTATTGCTAGAATTCCAGTCCCTAGAATAGTAATACATCAATATGCTCAAATACAATCACCGTACAATGAATAAACAAAGGCAAATAATAAGCACATGAAAAAATATGTTCATAAAAAGTATAAATTAGGGGGCCTGGGTGGCTCAGTCAGTAGGACGTCTGCCTTTGGCTTAGATCATGATCCCGGGGTCCTAGGATGGAGTCCCACGTTGGGTTTCACACTCACTGGGGCCTGCTTCTCCCTCTTCCTCTGCCTGCAGCTCCCCCTGCTTGTGCTCACTCCCTCTGTGTCTCTGTGTCAGATAAATTTAAAAAATCTAAAAAATTTTTTTAAAAAGTGTAGGTACCATTTTATGACTACTAAGGTAGCAAAATATTTCTAAATTCTGTCAAAAAGTTTGAGTAATTCCTTGATGTTAGTACTGAAACCGGTATAATCCCTTTGGAAAGCAATACCAAGCAAAAGCCGTGAAGATGTGCATAGCCTATGATGGACATGTTATCACAATATACTGTAATTTGGAGCACCTGTGTGGTACAGTTGTTTGAGTGTCTGACTCTTGGTTTCAGCTTGGGTCATAATCTTGGGGTCCAGGGATGGAGCCCCACATTGGGTTCCACACTCAGTGGGGAGTCTGCTTGAGATTCTCTCTCCCTCTGCCTCTCCCTCTTGTGCTCTCTCTCTCTCTCTCTCTCTCTCTCAAAAACAAATAAATAAAATCTTTTTTTAAATGCTGTAATTCAATGCAAGCAGAAAAGATATACTTCAATGCTTATAGTATTATATTTCATTAAAAACCCAACTTGGAAGTATTCACATTTTGAGATTAGTTTAAGTGGTTCCCATCACTAACAATTATACAATCAGTAAAAATAGTGCAATATTAACACAATGCCATTAAAAGTCTGTTATGCGACTGGGCCCTTCTAAGTGTTTCATATGCATTCATTTTAGGTAATATGCTGAACTTGTATAATTATAAAATCCTATGAGGTATGTACTATTATTTTCATACATAACAATCCTATGAGGTAGGTACTATTATTTTCATACACTTTATAAAAGAGAAAAATAGGACACCAAAAGATTAATTTGTTCAAGGGCATATAGTGGCAGAACGAAGATTTGAATTAGAAACCAAGTTCCCAATCACTTTACTACCCTAATATCCATGAACATTCAACTATCAGTATAGTATAGATGTACTATAGTACGGTGTAGAGCAAAGAGCTAGTAGCAGAACTGTATGCTTAATATGTTGTTTATGTACGTAAGGTCTCAGGGTATATGTGTATGTGGGTATGTGTCTAACATTATAGAAAATGGTCTATGGACTGCACACCAAACTGTTTAGCAGTGTTTTACTTTGGAGGGAGGGATGAGATGGGAGCAGGGCTGGCTTTAACTTTTTACCCTGTGTATTTTTGTATTATTTAATATTTTAAAGCATAAATTCTTGTTTATTTTTTTAATTTAAAAAAATGAACTGCAGGGGCATCTGGATGGCTCGGTCAGCTGTCTGCCTACAGCTCAGGTCATGATCTCAGGGTCCTGGGATCGAGGTCATGTTGGGGTGTCATCCCTGCTCAGCAAGGGATCTCCTTCTCCCTCTCCCCCTCCTTCTCTATTTTTGCTCATGCTCTCTCTTTCTCAAATAAATAAAATCTTTAAAAAATTAAAAATGAAATAAAAATTTTTAAATGAGCTGGAAATAGAAAGAAATAGCATGTTATATAAAACTTGCCCCAGCATTGATAATGCTAAATAAATATGCTTTGGCAGAAATGGTGAAACCATATATTATGTGCTCAATCTGAGAATAAAAATCAGATTTAGAATTTTATCTTGGATACATAAATATCTGTTTCAACCTCTCCCCACCACCAATGTATTTTGGTAATCTCTACATTTAGGATATTATTTTAAGTTTGATGGAAATTATAAATAGAAATCATACTGTCATAAGCAGTTATAAAATTCTTACTTTGGCTTTTAAAGGTAAAAATGAGTGGTTGATCTGCCAGGAAAAAAAAAAAAACTGTAAGAGACAAAAATGTTTTAAAGGGTCCCTATTTCAGGACACAGGTGGGGAGTATGGGCTATGTAGGTGATGGGGATTAAGGAGTGCACTTGTGATGAGCACCAGGTGTCATATGGAAGTGTTGAATCACTATATTGCACACCTGAAACTAATATTACACTGCATGTTAACTGACTGGAATTTAAATAAAAACTTTTTAAAAAAGAAAGTGTCCCTAATTCAAACCAATATTCTTTGCTCTACTCTTTTGTAGTAGATAGAATAATGGCCCACCCCAAAGATATCCATGTCCTAATGCCCAGAACCGATGAATATGATATCTTAATGGAAAAAGGGACTTTGCAGTTATGATTAAATTAAGGATCTTGACATGGGGATGTTAGTTCGGGTTGTCCAGGAGGACCCAATGTAATCACAAAAGTCCTTAAGAATGGAAGAGAGTAGCAGGA